TTATTTTTTATTTTATATTAATTTATTTTAAGGCACTCTGCTTCTTGCTGTAGAAGATGAAGCAACTGTTTGCAGGAGAACAAAACTGCTACATGCTACATATTATATATACTGCCTAACTTCAGTTCATACACTTATTGTGTTCAATCCACTTTGAAGCCTTTTAAATTTTCTGGGAGACCAGTATAAGAATAGTAAAGATAAAAAAAGATTTATGTGCCATTATTATTATAAACAACAATCTGTCAGTATGACGGACAATAATTAGGTGCAATGTAAGGCTTCATTTGACTTTAGGATTTAGTTATTGCTACATTAAAATTAGGAGTAGTCATGTCCATTTGTATATTAGTAGAATTACTCTTAATGGTTCAGTCAGTGATAGGTCTAACACAGACAGGTAACCATGACAACCAGGTCATGCTTTCTCATAGTTAGTTGGTTAAAACAAAACTTGATTTAGTTCTGTATCTGAGATCAAAAGAGAAAGAAAATATCCCATGCATTCTCTCTTTCTGGCAAACCTAATGGAAGTCTGCAATGAACTCTCATTTAATTTCAGGCATTAAAAATGCATCTGAGCTTTTTAACACTAGGACCTGCATAACTTAGAAAAAATCATACTTTGTGTCACAATGTAAACTTTGTCCTGGTTTTTTTATAATTTTACACATTGATTTATGGGAATTCACTTTTTTTTTTCACTGTTTCAAATGTTGAGGTAAATTACATAGCATGTCTCTAACTAGCAGGGAAAATGTCTATAATTTTTTTTTTTTAATGTACTGTTATATGAAGAGAAAAAATATTTATTAGAATCAGACTGATATAGTGCATCAGTATTCAATTAAGGTTCGAATTTAGAGAAAAATTACATGTTATTAGTTAAAAAAATTTGCAAAATATAAAATATAATTAAAAATAATCTAGTGGGAAACTTCAAAATATCTGAAAAGTGTGATATTAGCAGTCTATGAGGAATATTCAGAATTTTACATGTTGAATATGAGAAAGGAAGGGGAAAGTATATTTTTAACCAAACTGCCAAGTCATCATCTGGAGAGAGTTAAATTTGTTGCTCTAATGCTTAGATTCAGTACTAGGTTCAGATTAGGAGAAGAGTACTTCTAATCAATTTTTTTATTAGAATGAAACAATGAGAATGACATACCTTTTCTTCATTTGGTAGCAGTCCTTCAAAAAGAAATTTTGTTGCTTTTTCACAAAGAAACATTAAAACTGAAATTTCTGTTTTCAAATATTTCTGTCCTGTGTTAGACAAAAAAGTAGAAGAAAACATTTTATTAAAAAAACCAGCAGGTTTTTTATTAAAAAAAAAAACAGAGAAAAACATGATCCATTAAGTGAATTAAGGTCAAAATTAAGAAAATGACTATGGCTTTGTATTTTTCCTACAAATAAAACAAGACTTTCTATGAGATAGAATTACAGAATCATTCATTTCATGACATACAGTCATTTTGTACCATTCAGTTCAATGAAAGAACTCTTTCTTGAACATTTTTTTCTTCAGTACAAATTTGCCAGTTCATAAACTACCACAAAAAAAGAAATAGAATGCACCTGAACTAAGATAATTTGAATCAAAAGTATTTTCTTGGTCCTAGTAAATTCAGTTGAGTTAAAAGAAGCAGTTTATTGATCAAATCACGAGTGGAGTCTGCGAGCCAACTGATGCCGAATGATGTCCTAAGGCTTCCTTCTCCTTATTCATGTCCAAGGTCTTAGAGCAAACAGTGAATAGTGCTGCAAGTAAGATGTTAAAATCTTACTAGGCACAGACTAGATACTGAGATTCAATCTTTCATAAATTTCACCTCATAAAAACAACGCTGCCTCTCAGAAAAAGGAGGGCCTCATTAGTTATTTAATATTAGGTATAAAAATACATTACAAGCTATTTCAGAAACAGCTCTACAACTAACTCTGATATTTGCAATTATATTTGTGTATTACATATGTGTAAACAGAAGGACACAAGTGCTCAAGGCAGGGTGGGTTATAAGTTCTTATCTTTGGAGAGCTCGGAAGGCAGATGCAGGTTCAGATAGCAGAGTTGATTTTTTTTTTATTTTCAGCAGGTAGGATCCATTTATTCTGCCAATTAGAGGCCAGTTAAGATTTCAAGTATACTGTATATAGAACAATTAAGGTTCTGTGTATATTATATATAGAACCTCTGTTCTAAGCTATTATTAATTATCATGAAGCTTACATGTAATATACACATATCATGCAATACTGACATAGATAAATAACATCAGGGAATATCATACAACCCTGTTGCTGTCACAAGTCCATTATGAAGATAAATACATTTTATACATACATACATACATATGACAAAATAGTAAAACTATAACTGTAACAAATTTAACCACACAATATACTGGATATTAAGAACTCAGAACAAGGTAATGAATGTTTGATGAATATTTGTTATGACCTATATTCCCAGCTCATTTGCTTTGCAGATAAATGATTCATGCCAGGTACTGCACCTTTGGAAGGCTCTCTTACTTGTGTATGCCAAGATCAATTAGGAAGGCTAATGAATTCCGAAGTACTTCTGAGTACAGAAAACTTACAGTATATCGGTTCAGGCAATGCATGTTTGGTAACTGTAAGAAAAAGGAACCTAAATCTTGTGGAAAACAGTACAGTTTCAATACCACTGATTACCATTCTAAGACATGAATTTCCAACATACGTTGCTAGTAGCATTTCACTGTGTGAAGAACCCTTAAGGAAATCCAGTTCATAGCTGTGCACTTGCAATGTACACTAAGAAATCCTAACATACAAACATAGCAAAATGAACAGAACAACAGAGAGGTTACATGATCTTCCACTTTTACATTCCTCCTCCAGTGACATGGTGTTCCTAAGTGTTCTTCATGTGTGTATTTCATACTGCTACCTATAATATGTACAGTTGTGGGAAAGGTATTAATATCATTGTATTACCAATGACAAAATAAGCTCAGATAATAAAAGTATTGAAAGATGTACTTCTAGTTCATGTTTGTATTTGAATCTTTAACTAAAAGAGTGGTGAAAGTGTTATTATTGAACACCTACTTCTGTTTCATAATATAGCTTTTGATAAAGAATTAGGTCATCAGATTTATTTGAAGTCTGGATTTATGCGTTGCATTTTTACTTTATTGTTGGATGAATCAACTATCTCTTATGTAATAACCCTTTGAAATTTCTGAAAGATAGAAATGGAAGCTTACTAGATACTTTCTATTCTAATGGTATTAGAAATCAAAGGATACTTAAAAGAAATTTTAATAACACAGTAATTAAGAATATTTAGCATTAGTGACAGTCAAACATCATAAGTATTGTTCTTTGTGCTTTGATTACAATGCAGCACCTGACTGGGTGTCTCATGAGATGTGACTTGCTTTCCATGGCATTTCCAGCCTTTCTGAATTTTGAAGAAGACAGACATACTTCATGTTCTTTAAACAATTCTCTTATTAACTGTTTCATAGCTCTAATCAGGATTGTTATTGTGACCATTCTAATTGTCACCAGAACATAGGAATTCAAAGACAGACAAAAATTGTTATACCTATAACAGGCAATAGATTTATCTTCAACTCAGCCACATCCTCCTATGAAAATGCTGCAGAGCCATCTTATGCGTCTTCTGCACACTGTTCTTCAACTGGACAGCAAGGGAGAACAGACTTAACCATAAAAATTTCACAAAGAGTTTCAGCTCTGAAAAGGCACCTTACTACAGCCTACACCCACACACAAAGAGTATTATTGTATTAAGAATAATACAAATTTAGCCAAAGACAGCAGAGTTATTCTGAGTCTTGCTAACATTCCACTCTCTCTGCAGCTGGAACCAAGCATACTGCTTAACACAGCAGTGTCTTCTACTTTACTAATGGCAAAAAGTAGAAAACTCCATGCATTAACAAAGTGGCCAGCGTGGGCAGAAAAGGCTCACTGCTGTTTCATTTTGTATGTAGCTGTGACTGTTCCTTCCCAATATATGCCTGCAGTACCCTAGCTGTAGTCTAAGACTCATTCCTCTGTCAATGTTCAGCTGCTCTTGCTTCTTCCTTTTCTTGAACTTAATGATCTAAATGAGACAGCATGTCATAACAGTGCAACCTTGCCTGTCACCTACTTCCTAGAAGGATGTGGTTACAGAAAAAACTTTGCTTTTTTTATTTCTTATTCAGACTTGAAGCCAAATTATGTTCATCCCACCACTTATGAGCTATTTTTAAGTCCCAGAGACAAGTTAAGGCCAAGCACTCCTTGAGCCTCCAGTCCTGTATTTAGCTGTTGCCAACTTTCTTTCCTTAGGGACATTTTTTTTTATTTCTCTTGAATCAAAATGTCATGCTATCTTTTTTGAGCAGACAGGACATTGACATACATATTTCCTCACTGGATGTAAAATGTATATATCATGACATAGCTGATTGACCAATTGTGTCCTTTTTCTCACACTGCCTTTAGTTCAACTAAACATTTCCAATTGCTTGGATTTGCTTCTTTAATTCTAATTAAGACCCCTTTACAATCAAATTCTTCATAATATTGCATAATATATATTCTAACTCCAAATGCATATAAACTCTCATCCTGTTACTTTTACTGTATTTCATTAATCTTAGAATGTGAGTGCTAAAAGGTAGTGTTTCTGTCTTCCTTTACATGCATGCCTGAAGTATAAATAAAGCATCAAATATTAATCATGGTGCCTTTGGGGAAAAGTAGTGTCTGAGAAACACACTGATAGGAAGACATTTCACAAAATATAGTAACATACTGGACTCCATTCAAGTCAAGGAGGAAATTTAACACTGTATATAACTCCAGAGGTGAACTGAAAATAGTTTACTTTCCCTAAATCAGAGAACAGAGTTTGGCTAAAGATTAAAGCACAGAATGAATGGAAATACTGATGTAAATTGCAACTGCAGGTGAGATTCATTGCACCTATGGAAAGTCTTAATCTTTTGACTGCATGTAAAAAGTTGGATAGGTCAAATACATCTCCTGCTGAGAAAGTTGCTGCAAAATCCCAACCAAGCAGCAATCCATCACTGTGGACTGAAGTACTCGGTAAATGAAGGTCCATGTGGAAGCAGATAGATAAGATGCCAGCAGCTATCATGCAGTAACAGGTAACTAAGTCCTTGTGCTTTGCAGTAACAGTATGACCTGTTATGAACTCTAAGGAGTTTTCTCTGTCTGCTTATCACTCTACCTGAGCCTTTGATATAATTTTTTTTTGCATCTTCCCTCATACTGTTCATAAACAGTACTAAGGCCATATGGAAATTCCATCCCAAGGCTATTCCTTCTTTACCCCTTTCTAATATCCTTCTTTCTTTAGCACTTCTGAATTGTCTAAATCATAATACAATACTGTTCTTTCATGGAGTAGCATTATTGTACTATAATGGTGTTATAACAAATTACGTAGGAATGAGATCAATGATTTTAATGAGAAAGAAAAGAAGAAAGAGTTGTTCTTTTTCACTTTAAATTGAGAATGAGTTTAGAGATTTTTCTTTCTTTCCCCCTCCTTATCAGGGAGGATTTCTATTTAAACCAATAGGTGCTTCTTAAGACTTGTTTTTGCCTATTTTTCATTAGTTTGTGTCTAAAGTAAGGCTAATTGGTTTGTTAACCTGTCATAGATTTACCATATCACTCTTTGTCCTTGCTTTTGTATTCAGGAGGACAGCTACTTATTTCTTCAGCTGAACCTTTGGACAGTAATCATCATCATCATGGCGAGGCTTCGCGAACGAAGATTTGGGAAGGCTCTATCCACATTTGCTACAGGCACGTTGGTGGCTTATGAGGCCAATACGTGACAGACATATCCGATTGCAAAAGGCGCAGCAGAAAGACTCCTTAGATGGTGTATTCTGCAATACACGGTTCTTTCTGCGCTGCCTTTTTTCCTCGAGAGTGAATGACTTACCTAAATCCTTATTAGATACCTAAGAAACCATATGGAAACTTAATCATGATGCTCAGATCTGAAAAAAACAAACATACCAACAGCCCCCACACCCACGTAACAAAACATCCAAAAGCAAACAAACAAAAAAAAACAAACAAAGAAAAGAACATACTAGGCCTTCTCGATTTTGCTTCTCATAGAACTACTTTGTTTTTGCAGGTTCCAGTGAAGATCAGACCATCCCAATGCTGGTCACGGGGTTAAAAGGACTCAAAGTTATCGATGTGTCCTGTGGGAGTGGAGATGCTCAGACCCTTGCAGTTACTGAAAATGGTTAGTAGCAAAGTGAAACTTAAAATTTTGAGTAAGCTTACCTTTTCTTCCTTTCATTCTGAAGATACTCGTACTCCAGATATGCTTATTTCTAGTGGCTTGAACTTGGTAAGAATTTAAAGCTGAAATTCTTTTTGGGGAGATATATATGTATACATTTATACATTTTGCATACAGTGTATGCACATATATTTCTGTGCATAGATATGCAGTATGTTCATTATGAGTATGCAATGGTATATATATTTTATGAGATATATATTTAAAATATCCATGTAAATATAAAATGGACACACAAATATTACATCTATGTACTTATGTGTCTACATTCTATTTATTACTGTATAAATGTAAATAACTCATGTCGTCACAACAGCCAGAATTTTGAGTAGGAGAGCTGCCTGTGTTGGCCCATTGAAAGTGCCAAAGAGAGGCTGTATTGAAATTCTGCTTGCCAACATCCCTGAGCAAGCTGTCTAGGGTGAGACAGCTTCGAAGCCCAAATTTCATTACGTGAGGTTATGCCCAAAGTAATCCCTTAGAAAGAAGATAGTTCTCAGAAGCTAGTTGTTCTTTCAAAATATAGCTGGTTAATATGATGTGCAAAATTTAAAAACTGAAACGTTTGCTCATAAAGGAAATGGAAACCCAGATTTTGTCCAGTTTTTTTCCTTTTGGTCTCTGCCTTGCGTGCTTCCATTGCTTATCAGAATACCTTAGGGACTTGCTTATGCAGGTAGAGAACACAATGCATCACAATGTAAAACAAGGCTTTCCTTTTGGACATGTGTGGCTTTCAATTTTTGGACCGTAATTTTATTTAATGCAGGTACAAAATGGTGTGATTATTTCTAAGTTCCTACATCAGGACTTAGATTTAGTAGTGTATTTCAAAAAACATGGTAGGACAATGGCAGTCTTTGTTTCATTTTGAGAAATGCTTGAATGAAAATTAAAACAGGTTTTGCAGACAATTTGGCCGTTTCATATGGAAAAGATTTTGCAAGTTCTTATAAATAAGCAGTTTTTAACTTGCTTGATATACAGTAAATCCTATGCTTCATGTGTTTCTAAGAAGGACTTTCAGTACACTGATGAATTTTCAGTGCATATTATTTCTTACACTTTTTATGTTTAGTTTTATCAACATGAAAACTTTTCAAATCTTATTCTTCCTTCTTTTCAAAAAAATTAGAAATTAACTAGTAACTGCTATTCTTGAAAAACAATTTAAAAATTGTGCTTCTTACAGAATCTCAGATTTTTAAGAACTTACTTGTCAAAACAGATAACGTCGTTACATAAAAAAGCAGTGCAATATTTTTTGTTTTCTTTCTCTTGATTTAAAGGTCAAGTGTGGTCTTGGGGTGATGGAGATTATGGAAAACTGGGAAGAGGAGGCAGTGATGGTTGTAAGACTCCCAAGTTGATAGAAAAACTTCAAGATCTGGACATTGTGAAAGTTCGCTGTGGGAGTCAGTTTTCTATTGCATTAACCAAAGATGGCCAGGTCTACACCTGGGGAAAAGGTGACAGTCAGAGACTTGGGCATGGGACAGAAGAGCATGTTCGATATCCCAAACTGCTGGAAGGCTTGAAGGGTAATTATCAGAGCTGGGAATATTCCAAAGTTCTTTTTGCTGTTGGTGGAGTTTTTTACTGGACCCAAATGAACTAAACTTAAGTGTGATTGGTACCATGTACTCGGTTGTATTTGATGCTGGTTGCACTGGAAAAGGTAATAGTGCACGTTTCCCATCATTTCTGCATTTATGCCTTTAACATTTTAGCAGACCTAGAGACACTGTTATGACTACTTTAAATGTTGCTTGTCTTGTGTTCTCTTTATTCTTACTGGTTTTCTTTTATTAGGTTCACCGAAATGCTTACTTAAAGCATGTATTTTTGCATTGTCGTGCAAATAAATGTATATCATATGCTTAGATTAGGGCATGTGAATGGAATCAGTGAAAATCACAGACAACAAGTAGTGTTGAAGTTGTGTATTTTTGACTAGTTTGTAGCAGAGTGAAGAGTATTTCTTTCATTTGTGAGAAACCTGGGTTCTCTTGGGGGAGGATGAGGAAGAAACATTTTTTATTTCTCTGTCTTTCCTGAAATTGTTATTCATATGTGTTGAATGATCTAATTGAAAATAGTTTCTGAACTAATGACTACGAATAACTTTACAGTCTCTCATCATAGATGGGGAGATCTTTTAATAAATATTTCCTGAAAAGGTTTTGAAGTAGAAGAGATACAGAGTTGATTTTTTTTTTTTTAAACTTGTTAAGTTTTGTACTTAAGCTATCTCTTATGAATCTTAAAATATTTCTTTGGTTTATCCTTTGCTGTACTCTTCCAATCCACTATTAGAGGAAAGGTGAGGCTCTTGACATCCATAATATGTTAAGTATGGTTGCAACTAGCAGTTTTCCTTATCTCTGATATTTTTCTGTCAATAATTGTAATGTTTAAGTTATATTTTCAATATTTGAACTTTCAGGAAAAAAAGTGATAGATGTGGCAGCTGGATCTACCCATTGTTTAGCACTGACTGAAGATAGCGAAGTGCATAGCTGGGGGAGCAATGATCAGTGTCAACATTTTGATACTTTGCGTATCACCAAGCCAGAGCCTGCAGCTCTCCCGGGATTAGACACAAAGCATATAGTTGGAATTGCTTGTGGGCCTGCTCAGGTAGGTTTTATTTTTGAATTATTTGATTTTGTCTCCCACTGAGATTAGTTCTGTACTCTAATCCCAATCCCTTTTTCTGTGCTTGCATGACTTTTCTTATTTTTACTCTTATTCCAAATAAATGAAGACTTGGAAAAAAAAAATCTTGTGCAGTTCTTCTGCCAAAAAGGGGTGACTAGCTTTCCCTCTGTTGGGTATTCTGACAAGTAGCTGTTTACCTGCTTTGTTTTGTCTGGTACAGCAGTTGAGGAGTTGTCAACCAGACTTTCCTGCAGCAAAGATAGTGAGGTATCTGGGCTGGCATGCCAGCACTTTGGAAAATTTGATAAGAGAGTTCTGGGTTGGTAGGGTTTTATGTATGTTTCCAAGGATGCAAGTGGAGGGTTCTCTTCAGCAGATGTGCTGGTATTATTTCTGCATTGTCTCTTGCTGTTTGAAGGCAGATGTTAGCTTTACACTCCTATCTCTAATCAGTGCAATCTTGTATTTAGGAAATAACTAACTGTGGAACTCTGTCTCTTGTTTCAATTATAGAGTTTTGCTTGGTCATCATGTTCAGAATGGTCAATAGGCTTGCGGGTGCCTTTTGTGGTGGATGTTTGCCCCATGACATTTGAGCAATTAGATCTGCTACTAAGACAAGTGACAGAGGGAATGGATGGATCCTCTGACTGGCCCCCTCCTCAGGAAAAGGAGTGTATGGCTGTGGCAACATTAAATCTTCTGAGGCTTCAGGTACCTTCGGTTTCTTACGCATTGAGCAGTCATTGAGCTAAATGTTTTCAGTAAATTGCTTGGATGAAAATAGTAAATTTAATGTGCTTTAAAACACTTCTATTGATTTTAAAAAGTGAAATAATTACACTATTGCTTTTACTCTGAAATTTGGCATCTAATGCTTGTGGTTTTTTTCTTGTTGACAGCTTTTGGGTTTCATTAAAAATGAACTATAAAAACAGTATCTAAATAGAATAGGCCTTGTATACCCACTCAGAGATTTTGAACATTTCTATGACTTTTAAATAGCATTTCTGAGAGTGAATGTCCTCTTCAATTGGTGTCTGACAGTCACTGAAAATGTGCTGCTTTTTCTAACATAGTTGTAGTGAGGTAGAAACAAGTTAGGTTATTCTTTAGGTTTAGTTCAGAACTTCAGGGTTCACAGCTACTGTTCATAATTTATGAGTATTGGTTTAAATGTACTATGCATTTGGGAAGCCAGATCCGTTAGATTTGTAGATGAAAATTTGTATCTTGGTCAGTGAACTTACTCAATTGCTCCAGGATTGACTTTTCCCCCACCCTTGCCAAGTTCATATCTTTTCTTAATTAAAATTTGCTTCCCCCCATTTTTTTTTTCAGCTTCATGCTGCCATTAGTCATCAGGTGGATCCAGAATGCCTTGGCTTAGGTTTGGGCAGTATCCTGCTCAATAGCCTGAAACAGACTGTGGTAACGTTGGCAAGCAATGCTGGGGTCCTTAATACAGTGCAATCGGCTGCTCAAGCAGTGCTGCAGAGTGGATGGTCTGTGTTACTGCCAACAGCGGAAGAGCGGGCTAGGGCGCTCTCAGCACTCTTACCCAGTGCAGGTTGGTCCTGAGATTTAAACCTATTCGTTTGGTGCTTGCATTTTGAGTTCATTAATAGCTTCTCCTGCTCTTAGTTTCAGGAAATGAAATGAACGTAAGCCCAGGACGTAGATTTATGATTGACCTCTTGGTGGGCAGCTTGATGGCTGATGGAGGCTTAGAGTCTGCGCTAAATGCTGCTATCACTGCAGAAATTCAGGTGTGTTTCAGCAGCTTTGTAGTTCAGGTTCTTTTGTGGCGTACTGGATTTATTACTCTTATAAATACAGAGTAAATATGCCTTCAGTTGTGAACTGTGCAGCAGCTATTGGAATGGTTTCATCACGGTTTTGTGGAGTTTTTCTACTCTTCTTTGCCTTTACAACCTGTCATTCCTCCCTTCCCCTTTCTTTTTATATTATAATCGCTTTGAAAAAACTGTGCCCATGTGGTTGTTACGGAATATGCAATACACGTTTTGTCTGTTAGGAAGTGTTTCATTTCTGGCATAGGTAAAAGTAACTTGATCTTTTTACCGTGGATACTTGTTAGGAAAATGTTTTGTAATCAGAGTGGAAGTTTGTACGTTTTCTTTAACTTGATTTGGTTTTTTAGGATATTGAAGCAAAAAAAGAAGCACAGAAAGAAAAAGAAATTGATGAACAAGAAGCAAATGCATCAACGCTTCATAGGAGCAGAACTCCATTGGACAAAGACCTTATTAATACTGGAATCTATGAATCTGCAGGAAAACAGAGTTTACCATTAGTTCAGTTAATTCAGCAGTTACTAAGGTAATTGCTTGGAAGTTTTCTTTGTCTTTTGTACAGAAGATGTATTTAGATGTTTTATGAACTAGTCCACTAAGGGATGGTTAATTTTGGCTAGCAAATAAGGTCTCCTGTTAGCATTTTTAACTCCTCAGAATTCAAAATATTGAACATTCTCCTAACTTGTCTGTAGTTCTGCTGTTTTATGTTTGTTAAGAAGCAATGTTCTATACTTAATTACCCAATTTTAGAAAGACTTACTGCCATGCTTTAATGGATTTTAGTACTTATTCCTTTAGTCTGAAAGTTTTTGTACCAAATATAGGACAATTGTTCAAAAGCCTGTCCTTACAAAGTAGGAGAATCACCATGAATTTATTTAGAACTGAATGTTTTGCCCTGTTTGTTTAGAACTGAATATTTTGCTTCAAGGAGACTGTATCTGGAGCTGTAAGTGGGGAAGAAACCTGAATTTTAAATTCTCGACTCAGAGTTGTGAATGCATAACCAATAGTGTGCTGAGAACAAAGCTTCTTTATGTCAGCTAGAGGAGTATTTAACATGTAGCATGTATAAGCAGGAAGTAATTATGAGTTTACCAAGAAATTTATTGTGCTTTTTCACTTAATTGTGATGGCAACCATGTAATTTAATCAATACTGAGACTGTTTTGAGTTATGTATTGTCATGGCGTTCATTGCAGCCTTTCAGTGAAAATTGTCAGACTGTTTTGTAGTGGGTGATGACAAAATACACAAACTTGGTATTTTACGAATCCCTTTAAACAAATTGTATCCACAAAACCACTGACTTTTTGAGTACTACAGTGTGAAGAAGTGAACATTCTATGAAGAAACTTTGCATAGATTTCTTACATATTTGTGTGAAATTTTAGCAAAAGCTTAACTTATGTTTCTGTGGACTGTCCTCACTCTGAGCTCCCTTTATGATACTCTTATACCATTTAGGAACATAGCTTCACAGACGATAGCCAAACTAAAAGATGTTGCTCGTCGCATTTCTTCCTGCATGGACCAAGAACTTTATAGCAAGGAGAGATCTGCTTCTCTGGATCTGTTACTCCGTTTTCAGCGTCTGCTTGTTAGTAAACTTTACCCAGCAGATTGTGTTGGACAGGTCCCTAATACATACAGTAAGTTATTGTTTAAAAAAAACCAAACCAAACCAAAAAACCCTACCCTTTCCCCACAGATTTATATAATAACTTTTACAGAATACCAGTTTGTTACTTTAATTTATCTTCTTGTCTCATTTATCAGCCTAGTTGCTGAGTCTGTCTGAACGGTGTTGGAAAGTAGTTTATTTAAATTGTTTTCTGTTAGATAAAAGGGTCTAGATAATAAACTTGCCATAAATTTTTAAAAATATGTGGTTTCTTAAATTAGTGCTAGTACTGAGTGGCATCGTTTCAGAAGAGTTTGAAAGTTTTTGAAGCCTGTNAAAAGCACTATATGCCTTAGCTAACCTGTTGTCTATCTCTCCATCGATCTTACCATCTGAGGAGATGAGGACAGTAATCAATAAATCAGAAAATTGTTAACAAAAGCCCAAGATCTTAGAACGTGAAGAACACCTTTTCTACCATTTTAGAAATGTTTGGACTTCTTAACACTTTAATTCCTAATCTTTCAGTAGTTGTTCAGTTTTAGTTTTCTACATAAATTAGGATAAGCAACTTTGTTCTTTTTCATTTTGGCAGAGCTGGTAGGTATGTGATATCTGCCCAGAATTTGCTTTGTCAGTGGTTTTGGTATCTGTACTTTGTCAGAATTGTTTAATTTACAGTTATGAAGGGAACAACCTCGATTTAATTCAAGCTGCAATTTTTTTTTCCTTTGCCAAAAGAGCTGGAAGGCAGAGTTATTACTAGATGCAATGTCTCTGCTTTCATATCTTATTTCAATTAATAATTTTAGACTCAGACATCACATAGCTATTTAAAAAGGAAACTAATTTAAAGGGGGCTGGGAAGCAGCATTCGTCCAAGTATTCCTCTGTGTAACATTCATATATGGTTTGAATTCACACTCTAATTTTCTCTTGAATTTGGTCCTAAGAGGTAACTAAAATTGTCTTCAGCAGAAAGCAGAAACTACTCCAGATGTCAACGTTCTCCAATCTCCACTGTCTGAGCTAACTGCACCTATTTTCTTTTTCCTGTTATAATCTACATTATAAAATGCTACTCTAAATGCTATTTAATTACCTTCTTTACTTTCAGGAAAGTGAGCCATTGCAGACAGCAACACGATGCAGCAGTACTGAGGATATCAGGAGCAGCTTCTGCAGGCTCCATATGACTAATTTGTCTTGCTTGTCTCTCTGGCAGCTCTCACTGTGGTCTGTGTTGTCTCGTGGGAAAAAAAATAAAATTTGGACCTCGTATAAAGGTCCTCTTCTACTAGTAAGCTTATCCAACGGAATTAGTCATGACATCACTGAAGTACCAAAACCTAAGAAAAAGAATTTATTCCAGTAAGCCCTTCTCTTTTGGCAGACCTGTAAGGCAGAAACCTATGACTTACCTAAGTGCAGAGCCTAATCCAAGTTTCAGACATATTGAGACTCTGCAACTATTGTTTACTAGAAAATTCAACTCTTTCCCATCCTCTATATTTCAAGTTATTAATTACATTTGCCCTGTACTCCCTCATGTTTCCTCCTTATTTCATGGACTAGATTTAAAATAGAAATTCAGATTATTACTTCATGTTTCAAAAGAGCCACAAAAAAATTTTCTCTATGCAACAGCCTACATTCTTAAATTTCTCACGCTTTAGCAAATGTGGCAGCAGCCTATACCTCCTTTTCTATTCATAGTAGTTGAGCATTTTCATTTTATTACTATTTTTTTATCATATTACATTTCATTTTGTCTATAAAAGTGTAGTTTTAATGGTTTTTTTTCCAATCTCTTTCTCTTCAAAGACTGTAACTGACGCAGATCTACTAGTAAGGAAAAGTGACTGTTATAAAGACTTAAAGAGCACAGCTGCCTGTCTCAAACACTGCTAAGATCACAGAAGGATTTTGCCATGAGATGGGACAGGATGGCGCTAATTCTAGACCTGGCAGAGATGAGATCTGGTTAGCACATCCTAGGTAACACATCCAGACAAAAATTCCCGTTATGGCAAACTCTGTAAAGAAGCACCTGCTCATACACATATCACCAGTCAAAGAAAGATCATTCTAAATTGTGGGACAGCTGTAAGCTGCGACCACCAATGACCACTGAAGCACACCCATCCCCCCCCCCCCCCGATATTACTCTATGGATATCTGGAACTTGGACTGTAGATAAGATAAAGGTGGTTCTACTGTCTGGGTGTTACCTCAGGCCTAGGGAGAGGTTAACAAAGCTTGGGGAGAAGAATGTATCATTGATAATGTACACAAAGAATGCAGAGTTTATGGGCCAAAAGGAAAGAAAACTCGGCAACTGTGCTGAAATCAGTTCCAACTGTGTAAAAGGAAATTCCAGTAGGGGGAGATCATGGCCACCAACTCACAGCCCATCAACCCAAGCAACCCAGTGCCTCAAAAGAAAAGAAAGACTGAGCATGTGGACTAATTAGCATTAGAGAACTGTGTAGCTAATGAGCATTAATTCCTTTTGTTGCTAAAATGTATAAAGATTGAAAAGTTTTGAACAACTTAAGGACCTTCACCACCGAGAAGTCCAGGGTGAAGAAGGATCATTAGGACTACAACACGTGATGACTATCTTCTGCTTGATCTGTCTGTCTCTCTCCTCTTTTCCATTTCTTTCTATCTGTTTACCTCAAATTCATTCTTAAATAAAATCAGTACTGTTGACTTTGGCATACGGTCTCATTTGCACCTTAATTCAGGCAGAGGCATCTCTCAATAATTGGATCTTAACAACTGTGTGAAACTAATTGACATGTTCCTCATTTACTGATGTCTGAGATTCAAAACAAGTTTGTCTTACTAGAAACCACAAACTTGAAGGATCAATGGAAAAAAAATTGAGGGTTTTTTCTATATAAAACTCTTATTTAACTATATTTCATTTTATTTTTTTGACTTGCTGGACTTTGATTATTTACTTATTGATCCTTAGGGAAAGTTTCTCTAACTTAAGATGTGAAAGGAAGAAGCCTCCTCATTTTTCATTGGACACTCACATTGGACACTTTTTCTTTTCTTCCTGCTTCATTGATCTGATCTGGGAAATATTACTCTCAACTGACCAAAATAGGTTCTAAGAATTTCTCCATTGTGTAGAGTGAACTCCCTAATCACCTATCTACTCAGTACTCTTCAACAGTTTCTTTCAAGAATAATTTGAAATATTTTTTTTTTTGCCAGAGGTACAGAATTCTTAGAGGAATTGAATTATTGCGGTTCAGCCGCACTCTAAAGCTTCAGAAGCTGAAGGTATATTCAGTCAAGTATTGAGTGACTTATTTTACTCTCAGGGCTCTACATACTGCATAAAATTTTAATTCTGGAGCACAGTTTTGTACTACTTGTAAGACACAGGCTTGCTGCTCTCTCCTTTCTAGAGCTAAAGATTTTTTCTGATATCCATACACAAGGATTTTTGGCCCTTTAGATGACTTCTCATGCAGGGACAAATGCTAAGCCAACAAATACTTTGAATGCTCTTTAGATTAAATGATGCGTGTTCACTATACTAAATGCTGTCAGATATCAGCTATTCTGAGAAATCTTATATCTCCTTTTACAGGTGGTATTGTTCTATGACACATTTTATCTGCAGGATTTTCTGCTGCTGATTGCTTTATGATCCCTTTATATCTTGATATATAGAGAAGCACTTAGAAGCATGATTTTGAATTTGTTTTATTCTATTCTTGTGAAAAATTATAGTTCAGTATTATCTGACAATATATCATATTTTAGTTTTTAGGTATGATAGTACTAATAAAAAAGCTCCAAACAAAATTTGAAGATTTATGCAAATGATACAGTACAAAACATCTTGCTTTGGGCTGCCTTTTTCCAATGTCTTGATGAATTAAGAAGAAACTCTTGTCCTGAGTTATTTGACTGTTTAAAAATCTTCAGTTCCAAGGTGTAAATTTATTTCAAAGGAATTTTGTGAAGCAGAGGTCTACTTCTGGCTTTTCCTGGAGGTCATGCTTCAGGATGTATCCAAGCTCTCCTCCTCAAACTAGAACAGTATGGAAAGCTCTTTAGAAAACAAACCCAAGTATATCATCTGCACTAAGCAGATCAAGTGTTAAGGTTTCAACATTGTAAATAATGTTATAAATGTTATTTACAATGTGATTCAGTCATTTCAGTAAAAGAAATTCAAGTCTTGTATAAAAGTTTTTTTTTACTCTTTCCTTCTCATCAGTTAAATATAATGGCATATGCTAATGCCTGGGGTAAACAGATTCTTTCATGAAATGAATTTCTATTAGTGCATCTCACTGATATGTAATATAAAAATATTTTCACTCATATTTAACTTTTTGCAAACAAGTGGGAATTCATATCTATCTAAATGTATTTAGAGAAAGTTTTGATAATGTCATATAGAGGTGCAATTAATTTCTTATATAGTATCCCTAGTCTGTGAAAAAAACTAGCAGTAATCAACTATTTGGAGTCATAGAATCATAGAAGGTGCTGGGTTAGAGAGATCTTTAAAGATCATCTAGCTCCAACCCCCATTCTGTGTGCAGTGACACCTTTCACTAGACCAGTTTGTTCAGAGCCCCATCCAACCTGATCTTGAACACTTCCAGGGATGGGGCATCCACAACTCCTATGGACAACCTGTTTCAGTGCCTCACTACCCTCACAATAAAGAATTTCTTCCTAATCTAATTTTCTTCCAAACTTAACCTAATCTCTTTCACTTTGAAACTATTCCCCCTTGTTCTGTCACTACACACTGTTGTTTATAGTTTCCCTCCCTCTTTCCTACTCTGTTTAAGTACTGGAAAGCCACAATTAGGTCACTCTCAACTCTTCTTTTTTCCAGGCTGAACAATCACAATTCTCTCAGCCTTTCCTCATAGAAGAGGTGCTCCATCCCTCTAATGAACTTGGTGGCTCTTCAACACAGGATGTCCTTCTGGTTCTGGGGACCCTAGAAGTGGATGCAGCACTCCAGGTGGGATCTCATCAGAGTGGAGGAGCAGAATTCCCTCCCTCGTCCTACCCAGGACACAATGGGCCTTCTGGGCTGAAAGCACACACTACCGGCTCATGTCCAGCCTCTCCAAGCACCCACCAGCACCCCCAAGTCTTTCTCAGCAGGGCTGCTCTTGATCTGTCTGTCCCCCAGCCTGTACTGATACCAGAGTCTGGGGCAGCACCTTGCACTTGGTCTTGTTAAACTGCGTGAGATTCCCATGTGCCTACTTCTCAAGTTTGCCCGGGTCCCTCTAGATGGCATCCCATCCTTCAGGTGTGTCAACTGCACGA